AGGTGACAAGTGAATCCTGACTTACTATTTATTAGGCACTGATAGAAACTTAATGCTTAATCACAGAGCACTAAGTGACTCTATATTACAAACTTCTTGTTATGCAATGTTTATTCCATCAAATCATAAAATTGGACATGCAAATCTGCATTACATTACAAAAGCAAGTCTAGAAGAGAAGTAAATTCCATAGGCTAGTGATTTGGATTCCATTGTTCTTGTCCCTATTGTTTTACTACTTTTCCCTCAACCAATATTCATGGCCTCAGAGAATTTCCTAATGCTAATCACATGAAGAAAAATTACAGAACTGATTAACAGAAGGTCCTGTAAGGTTTCACTTCTATTCTTCCTCAGGGTTGGCCTCAAATGCATAGGTGAAGATAGATTTTTCCAGTGGTCAGGTTTCAGGTTGTTCACTTTTCATTAAAGGCAACACAGTCTAAAATACATGCCTATGTTGACTCATGGGTAGTAACTAAGGGGTTATTGGGTAAAGTAAATGGAAAGAACAAGAGGACTAGAAAAAAGGATTCTGGGGGAAACATATGAGGCTGGACCCCCTAGAATGGGTAACATGTGAGTGTATTTGTGTCTGATGTGAGCTCTCAGCAAAGGGCATCTATTGTAGAGAAGCTTCTCAATCATACAGGCATGATGCTCCATAATATGTCAATCATCCTTTCTTCTAATGCTTGTCCAATTGATTCATGTACGGAGTGGTCATGACAACATGTATGGAGGCTATAATGGACCTCCTTCTGCCAAGGCCTGCTACCACTGCTATTTGCCCACTCAGCTAAAGCCAATATTACACTCCAAATAAGGTATCACTCCCTTGAGAGGGACCAGCCAGTCACTGGGGGGTCATATTCATTACATTGAACCAATTCTATCATAAAGATGGCAACAATTTATTTTTCAAGGACTAAAAACATAGTCCAGATACAAATTTGTATTGACTTAAGAAAATATTATAGTTATTACCATGATATCTTATATAAAATTGCCTCCAAATAACATATCTTACAGGGAAGTTCAACAGTAAGCTCTCATACTTATAATTTGTGGATCTTAATATATACATATAAAATCATCCAGAAGAAAACATATTGAGTTCAGAGTGTAATGACTTGCCAAAGGTTAAGTCTGGAGTGCTGTCATGTAAGATGCAGAATATGTCCTAAACCAAAGGACAATAATTTTTTATCTTTTCTGTGGCTAGAATACACATACACACACAGGAACAGAAACCAATGATGGAGGAGCAGTGAGAATAGTTCTTCTTATTATATACTTATTCCACTTGTATTGTTTTTGCTTCCTATCCACACAATCAATATTGGGTTTGGTGAATTTGAGGTTCTAGTGCTCAAAGGGGAAATGCTTCTACTGTGGAATGAAATCATGATTTGTGTTAAATCTAAAGATAAAATTGTTCTTGGCTTTTTTGGGCTCCTTATGCTATTGAAACTTTATTGGCCAGGATGACTGACCCCAGTTCCAATGGGGAATTAGTTGCTGCTACATAGTAAAGGCAAGGAAGAATATATCTGGAAATTAGAGGCTATACTGGGGTGTTTCTTAGTTGTCTCAAGTCCAAGAAGCCCAACCAATGGTACTCTGAAGAATCCTAAAAGTATTATCAATGACTTATATTACTTAACTACTTAAAGAAGTCTGAGACAACAAGATAGTAGCAGAGGGAAAAGATGTGAAATGAGTGATAGAAGACCACAGTTAGGATTATGAACTTAGGCTTTTTGAAAAGCAAAAACAGTAACAGTCACTTTTTATGTTATGTCTTTTTCTACCTTTCCTTACTACCTTATATGAAGAGCACTAATGGTAGTTGAATTCTAGGTTTCAGATGGGAGAATGACTTAATTATGTATCAACTTGCAAGGAAATAGTAGTTTAAGGGACTTTGTTACTCTTCTGTGTTGGGAGTGCAGAAATATAAACAAAGGACACGAGTGGATATTATAGGATAAAAGGGGTATACTATAACTGATATTCTCCTTTCACCTCTTTAGATCTACTTTCCATCTGCCCAGTGCCTCAGTGTGTTGATGTTGATGGACTGCGTAACCAGAGGTTCTGTGCCTTCTGGTTTGAAATTATATTTGCACAACAGTGGGATAAAAGAAGTGTGACCAATTGTCCGTTTGCATAAAACGGGGGGGGGTGTTATTGGGATGTAGGACTGTTAGTGGTATAAATACCAAGCAAATAGATGAGTTGGTCACCATACATATTGGTTCCCTTCTTGCTGGGTCAATTAGAAGTATAGTCATTCTTCAATATCAGCAGGGGTTTGGTTTCAGAACCCCTATGGACACCAAAATTCACAGGCTAATGCAGAAGTCCCTTATACAAAATAGCCCAGTATATGCCTTTAACCTACATATACCCTCTCATATACTTTAATTCAGCTCTACATTGCTTATAATCCCTAATACAATGGAAACAGTATATAAATAGCTGTTATATTGTATTGCTTCTTATGACTTGTTTTCTGGAATGTTTTTGATTCATGGTTAGTTGAATCTGTAGACATGGAACCTATGTGTAGTTGTATTTGTGCTTCTTTTACCAAAGGCCAGAGCTTCTATCGAGTGGCTCTGTCCTTCAGTGACATTCTCCAGAATCTGGTAATCAATCTCTCCTCTTGTGTCTTAAGCAGCAAAGTAAAAGTAGTAAATGCTTCCCATTGCTATTTTCCCAAGGCTGTTCTTCATCCCTTGCTGATCTCTGTATTCCTGCCCTTCCTTTACACGAAACTGAATTGCTCCACTGGAATGAGCCATCTGTTTCCTGCTAGAATCTTGACTGATACATGTTGGTTCAATGTCTCCATATTATTATCATTATCTGATAATATATATTTATTTTCTGTTTCCTCCCACTAGAATGTAAACTTCTTGAGGGCAAAGTTTTGTCTGTTTACTTCTATATCTCTTGCATCTAGAAGAGTGCCTAGCACAGAGTAAAATCTCAATAATTAACAACATTATATGACTAGTAATAATAAGCTGTGACTTAATTCATAAAGATTTATTAACAGTAAATTTTTTAATTAAGTAAGTGATTTGAAGGATACCTTAATGTTATCAGTGACTATTTCTAAATGGTGAAGTTCTAGGTTACTTAAATTTTGTTTGGTGTTTTTCTACACTTTACAAATGGATCTTAGAATAATTGCTTTACTCTGTAATAAAATGTTACTTTATAACATTCTAAGAAACCTAAACACATGGAACAAGTATATCCATTTATGTAAAATTGCAGGGGGAAGGCTGGTGGAGTGGTAGAGTGTCTGCCTAGCAAGCATTAGGCCCTGAGTCCAAACACCATACCACCATAAATAAATATAATTACAGAGGAGAATTCTATTCTGCAGGAATTCTCAGGAAGGATGAGAGTAGGATGCCTTAGATTCTTAAGGAAAAGCAGATGCTAAATACAGGAGAGACACTAAATAAAATAAAATATGATAAAGATTACCTAAGACTAAAAAGAGGCAGAATATCTAGAATGAAAGAAAGGGAGAATGGTAGGTGAATTTTACAGGCAAAACGACAGCAATGGGAGAACATGTGAACAAAGTTAGGATCAAAATTGCTTTACTACTACTAAGAGTGGCTATCATTTATAAAGAGTTTACTAGGAGTCAGGTCTGTGCTTAGAACTTTACACACAAGTTCTCATTTAGTGTTTGTGGCTTTCTTTTTATTTTTATATTTTGGTGATACTGGGGTTTAAACTCAGGGTCTCATGCTTGCAGGCCCTCTATTACTTGGGCCATGACTCCAGCCCTTTTTTGCTTTAATTATTTTTCCAATAGGGACTCCTGGTCTTTGCCTGGGGCAAGCCTTGGACCACAATCCTCCTACCTATGACTCTGTTGCAGATATACTGATAGGCATGCACCACCATGGCTGGCCTGTGATGTTTCATAGAGTAGTAATGGATCTCAATGAAATCTCCATAATCAACATCCTTCTACAGTAACTCTTGAATTGGTCATGTGACTTGATTTGGTCAATGAGACATTAACAGATATAATGCAAACCTAGATATGAAAAGTGCTTATGTATCAGAGAGCTTGCCCTGTCTCTTATTTTGGAAATCAGTCATTCTGTGAAACAAATCTGGGTTAGCTGAGGATGTATGGTCCAAGCCATAGAAAGTACCAATTGTCACAGGTGACTGTGACTGTCTTAGACTCTAGTCCCAATTAAGCCAATAGATGATTACAGGAGTGAGCACAGACAATGTCACGAGAAAAAAAAACAAAACAAAACTGCCCAACTGAATCCAGTTCAAGTTAATGACCTATAAAATCATAAGAAATAACATGGATTAAAATGTCAGATGCCGGGCTGGGATGTAGCTCGGTGGTACAGCGCTTGCCTTGCATGCGTGAGGCCCTGGGTTTGATCCCGGCACCAAAAAAGAAAAGACAAAAAAAAAAATAAAAAAGTCAGATGCTTTAGTTCACTAAGTTTTAAGTTTTGGGGTCCTTGATTTTGTACTAATAGACAACAATTCTCAAAATACCTCCAACATATGAGTTATTAAGCACTTATAAAGTGAGGAAACAAAATTTTGAAATTACAAAAGGTAGTGATAAAGCTAGGATTTGAATCCAGATTTTCATACTTCAGAACCTTTAACTATGCACCTGTGGTAGATGAGAACGATGACCGGAAAGATTATAAGGGAGACAAACCAAACACTGATAGATTGGTTAATAAGGTGGCAATAAAGGGAAAAATAGATGACTCTGGGGTTTTAAAAAAGAGGGGGGAAATGAATAAGAATTTGGTTGCTAGAATTCAAAATAAAGCCACATAACTGTGCATGGAGAATTACAGACATGGTATGCCTAGTAGAGGGAGGGTAAAGGCTACAGAAAATACTGATATCATTTGAAGACAGCACGGGGTGACATTTTACTTCCTGAGACCACTAAGATACAATACATTTCTCCTCACCTGACAGAAGGTGATGTTCTTGAGGTTCATAATTGAACCGGGTCTCCATGTGCTGCAACTGGACCCTTCAGGTAACAATTGGAGAATTATCATTTCCTCTGTAAGATTCTCTGGTCGGCGTAAGGGTCTGAGGTCTGGAGACGACTGGACGTCACTGGGCTCAGAAGACAATCAGTGTACAGACTAGAGATGTCATTTTTGAGACGACAGCACCAGAAACAGCCTCTAGAAATAAAAGGGAAGGAGTAAAAGGTTATTTAACTTCCAAGTGTTTTTCTCTTAGAATTTACTAAGCTTCCTGCCCTATCATCCAAGGGTCTGGCTTTGCCTCTCTTGGACATACATTCCCTATTTCAAATAGAAAGATGTTCAAACAAAATTGGGGGCTAATAATACAAAGTACTATAATAACCGGAAAAATAACACGGTGGGAAAGATTTTAGAATCTGTACTAGTGGCTAAGACTATGTTATTCGCAGTCTTTACAAAAATGACACTATGGATGGATCGTGGTGACCTGTCTTCCTTCTTCTAACACTCACAGATTCTGACAGCTCTTTCCCAGTTCAGTAGGCTGGTTCGCGTGGACTCATTCACACGCGCCTCCTGATTCCACGAGCACCCCAACACGTCTGGCGTTGAGTTGAACCCAAGGGCCAGCGGGGGGGAAGGGGCGGGTCCACCAGAACACTAGGCCCAGCACCGCCCAGCGCCCGATGCCCAGGAGACCCTGGCGGCCTGCAGTCTCCACGGGCTAGGCGAGATCACCGGATGCTTCCGCGGCCGGCGTCACGCGTTACCTGCAGGTGTCCCCGGCTGGCTGTCAAGCTTCCCACGCCAGAGCCCGCGGTCGCCCTGTAGCTCCGGGAGCCCGGAGCCCCCCTGAGCTCTGCTGCGCACGCGCGGTGGGCGGAGGCCGAGCTTAACCCTGCAGCCTCCGCAGAGCCGCCCGGCAGGCCCAGGACAGGGACCGCTGGACCGCTGGACCGCCGCACATCCCTGACTGCCGTCTGCTGGCTCTAGGGGTAGACGTCGGAATCTTTCGCTTTTGGGACAGCCTGGGTAGGTTTTCTGATCAGATAACGAACTCTTCTTTACCTCTTTTTTTTTTCTCCCTCCTTCTCCCTTTCCTTTCCTCCCTCCCCTTCCCTCTCTCTCCCTCTTCTTCCCCTTCTCCTTCCTTTTCCCTCCCTCTCCCTTCTCTTCTTTCCTTCCCTCCTTTCTCTCTCTCCCTTTCTTCCCTCTCCCTCCTCAGATTCGCAGGTAAGCTTACATTCTAACTTTCTTCCTATACTGTATTTTTAGTCTCAGAACACTGAAACTAACCAGAATCACCTTGTTATCACCTTGTTAAAATGCTGATCTGTGACTCCTGAAATCAGGAATGGGAGCCCAGGTTTTCAGGTGATCCTTAGGCTGCTGGTCCTGACACTACACTAGCCGATGTCCTAGTGTGAGTGATGCACAGTAATTAATCACTGAATTGCTGAGAAGCTAGAGCAATTTACAATTAAGAGAGGGTGGGAGGGACTGGAGGTGTGGCTCAAGCGGCAGAGTACCTGCCTTGCAAGCAGGAAACCCAGTACAGCCATACAGGAAAAAAAAAAAAAAAAAGAGCAGGAAGTAAAGTCTGTGTACCAGTACAGTCCTCACTGTCACTCAGGATGAGAAGGAACCGAAGTGGAAGCGGATCTGGATAGTAAAAGACGTTGCTGTCTCTGGAATATCCTGGGAAGAGGAGTTGGGAGAAGGATTGAGAACAGACATGTAACTTGGTTCAAAATGTGGTGGTAAAGGTACAAGTTTGAGAAAATTGTGGAAAGCTCAAGTAGTGTTTAAGGTAGAGGAAAAGAAGGCTCCTTGTTCCAGCCCAAGACCCTCTTTAGATCTGTGAAATCTGAGGGAGACCCTAAGATACCCTCAAGGGGCAAGAGAGGTGGGAACTTGTTTGGGTCAGGTCCTCCCAAGTAGGAAGTGCAGATAATTTTTTTAAAACGTTTCATTGAGGTATAACTGACATAAAATAAACGGCAAATGTTTAACATAGGATACATATGTATACAGAAATGAAACCATTGCCACAAAATCGTGAACCCATCCACCAGCCCCCCCAAATTTATGCCTCTTCACAGTTCCTCCCCCTTCACACCACTACGATCTGCTTTTTATTACTGTAGTTTGTTTGTATTTTCTAGAGGTTTGTTGAAATGGAGTCAACCAGAATGAACCTTTAGCAGTCGTCTTTAACTGAATCAATAGTTCATTCTTTTTCTTGCTGAATAATATTCCATTGTGTGTATCTATAACAGTTTGTCAATCCATTCACCAGATGATTATCATTTGGAGTATTTCTGGGTTTTTATTTTTTTACTAATGCTGCTATCCAAATTCCTGTACAAGACTTTATATAGGTTATTGTTTTTATGAGTTTTTTTGTTTATGTGTTTTGAGACAGGGAAGGTCTCACTATGTAGCCCAGGGTGGGCTTGAACCCATGATCCTCTTGCCTCAACCTCCTTAGTGCTGGGATAAGTGTGTACCACCATGACCAGCAATATTTACATTTTAAGAAATTGCCACAGTGGGTTACAGGCATGGCTCAAGTGGTAGAACAAGTGGCCCTGAGTTCAAACCCCCTGTACTGCCAAAAGAAGAAAAAAAAGAAGAAAAGAAAAAGAAATGACCACGTTGTTCTTCAGAGTGGCTGTGCCATTTTCATTCTCACTAGCATGCATGAGAGTTCTAGTTTGTCCACATCCTTACCAATTCACAGTGTCTCTCACTGTGATTTTAATTTGTATTCCCCTAGTGACTAATGATATTTAGCATTTTTCATTTGCTTATACACTATCTGTATGTCTTTCTTGGTGAAATGTCTGTACAAATCTTTGGCCCCTTCTGTACACAAGTCTTTTATCAGATATATGCTTTTTAAATATATTGTGGTTTGGATTTTTCTCTCATCTTTTGAAGCACAGCAGCTTTAAATGTTGACAAGTTTATCACTTGGTTCCTTATAGATAATGTCTTTGTTGTCATATGTCAGAAATCCTTGCCTAACTTAAGCCACCAAAATTTTCTTTTTTCTTTCCTTCTGAAAATTTTTAGAGTTTTAGATGTTACATTTGGGTCTGTGTTCCATCACGAGTTTTTTTTTTTTTTTTGTGATAGTGGGGTTTGCACTCAGAGCCTGTATTTTGAGCCACTCCACCAGCCCTTTTTTTGTGATATGTATTTTCAGATATAGTCTCACAAACTATTTGCCCAGACTGGCTTTGAACCATGATCCTCCTGATCTCTGCCTCCTGAGTAGCTAGGATTACAGATGTGAGCCACCAGTGCCTGGCGTGAATTAAATTTTTGTGAACATAGTTTGACACTTGTGGGAAAGTTCATTTTTTTAATGGGTATTTGTTTAATGCCATTTCTTTCTTTGAATTTCCTTTGAATCACTGCTAAACATCAGTCATCCATACATGTGTGTGCCAATTTCTATTTCTGGCCCCACTACTTTTTCTATTGATTTACTTGTCTCCTTTTAGTCTGATACCAAACTTTGTGTGTGTGTGTGTGTGTGTGTGTGTGTGTGTGTGTGGTGTGTGTGTGTGTGTGTGTTAGATACTTTCTTTTCCATGAGTGCCTGCTATATAACATTATACCCTTTTGGTTGAGTGGTTTAGGAATAAAATCCCTCTCCACATGCCTACCAGAATGGGAGCATAAAAAGCCACATAAAGAAATTATAACCAAAGACATAAGAAGATATCCAGACATGAGAGTGTGAGGTTGGTGTCAAGGTTTCAGGGCTATAGACAGACAAGTGAAAAGTACCCATAGTGTGTAGCAAAATGGAAGTCAGTTATAATCATATTAGAGGAAAAAAGTTTTAAGTAAAATGTGGAACAAAAGGCAGACTGAAGCAGTGTAAGAATAAAAGGGTATGGTGAGCATTTTTTCATGTGTTTTTTAGCTGTTTGGACTTCTTCCTTTGAAAAGGCTCTGTTCAATTCATTTGCCCATTTCTTCATTGGGTCATTGACTCTTTGGGAGTTTAGTTTTTTGAGCCCCCTATCTATTCTGGCTATCAACCCCTTGTTAGAAGTGTAGCTGGCAAAGATTTTTGTCCCATTCTGTGGGTGGCCTCTTCAGTTTAGAGACCATTTCTTCTGTTGTGCAGAAGTTTTTTAATTTGATGTACTCCCATCTGACAATCCTTTCTCTTAGTTGTTGAGCCACTTGAGTTCTACTGAGGAAGTCCTTGTCTATGACTACTGCCTCAAGTGTACTCCCTGCTCTTTCCTGTACCAGCTTCAAGGTTTCAGGTCTTACTATGAAGGTCCTTAACCCACTTTGAGTTGATACTTGTATAGTGTGATAGACATGGATTCTAACTACCATCAGGAACACCACCACCAACAAATGTTGGTGAGGTCGTGGGGAAAGGGAACCCTCATAGACTGCTGGTGGGAATGTAAGCTAGTGCAATCACTATGGAAAACAGTATGCAGACTCCTTAAAAAAATAAATAGACCTGCTATATGATCCAGTAATACCATTCCTAGAGATGTACCTGAAGGATTGTGTGTCAGCTTACAGCAAAAGCACTTGTACACCCATGTTTATTGCAGTACTATTCACAATAGCTAAGCTATGGAAACAGCCTAGATGCCCCACTACTGCTGAATGGATTAAAAATGTGGTATTTAAATATGATGGAATTTTACTGAGTCACAAAGAAGAATGAAATTTTGTCATTTGCAGGGAAATGGATGGAACTGAAGAACATCATCTAAAGTGAAGTTAGCCAGGCTCAGAAGGCCAAAAGCTGCATATTCTCTCTCATTTGGGGAATACAGACCTAACACAAATGTAGGAATATTGTGGTATGCTGGTCACAGGAAGGGAAGGTCACACTGAGAGGGGAAGGGAAAATAAGAACTTGAATAGGGTTGATATAGCCACTAAACAAAAATGAATATAGAAATCTTAAACTCACTGAAACTACCATAACTACCATAAGGTAGAATGAAGAAAATTAAGGAGATAAACCAAGTGGGGTCATAATACATACATACATGGAAATGTCACAAGGAAACTCCTCATGTAGCTACCTTTATCTCAAGCTAAAATACTATGTTTTTCATTTTCTCTTTTTTTTTCCTACAAAAGCAGAGAACAGGAGGATGGAACAAGTCCTGCCCAGGGGGGAGGGTTGGCACCCATGGGAGGGAGGAGGTGTTGGAGATAGGAGGTAGGAGGGTGAATATGGTGCAAAAAAGTATTTGCACATGTAAGTAAATGCAAAAATGATACCTGTTGAAACTACTCCAGGAATCTGGGGAGGAAGGATGAAGGAGAATGGCTGAGGAGGTGAATTCATGTATGATATATTTGATACATTGTAAGAACCTGTGTAAATGCCACAATGTACCTCCACCCATCACAATAATAAAAGTAAAACCAAATCAAACCAAACAATATAAAACAGAATAAAAGGGTATCCAGAAATAGAGAATGTAATCACAGATTAATTTCTTGAAGAAGTTCTGCTGTGCCAGGTACAGTGGTGCATGCCTATAATTTCAGATCTTGGGTGGGGAGATGCTGAGGCAGGAGGATCAAGAGTTCAAGGTCAGACTGGGCTACATAGTGAGAAAAAAAAATAAAAACAAACCAGCAAAAAAGTCAGCTATAGATAGGAAAAAAGACATTGGGTGATAATAGAGTTTATAAATGGTTTATTTGGCTAGTTGGTGCTTGATAATTTTTAAGATTGAAGAAATACATGATGTGTAAAGATGTAAAAGATGGTAGAAAGAATCCAGGAATGAGAGTTGATAACACAGTAGAACAACGAACAATTGATGTTATATGATTGCTTGCATAGCTGAAGACAAGGGTGGCATGAATGGAGGAAGAGGCCTTTGAGATATGAGGAATGCTTCTTCCATGCTAACTGAAGGGTCAGATGAGAGTGAATGCCAGTTCAGGTAGGTTGGTGGGAAACTGAGATTGTTCCAGGCTTAGAGCTTCTAGATTCACTGAGGAAAATGTTATGCCATTATTTAAGAATAAGGAGTAAAGGAGGAATTAAAGATTTGAAGAGAGTGAAAATGCTTTGAAATAGCCTTTGTGCAAAGTTTGAGCCAGCTAGAAAACAGTATGACTGGTAAGCAGTATTGAGTGACCTATAATTTTTGTTTGTTTTTCTTTTCTTTATTTGTTTTGAGACAAGGTCTCCCTATGTAGCCCATGTTGGAACTCTAG